GCCGCCCTGCGGGGGCGGGGGCTGGTGGCGGGGGGGGGGGGGGGCGGCCTGGCTCTGGCCCTGTCCCTCCGCTCGCCCCTCGCCGCCGGCGAGTTGGAGATGCACCCCCCCAGCTTCCCCTGGAGCCACGGCGGACCGCTGTCAGCCCTCGACCACGGCAGGTAACGGGGGGGACACCGGGGGGGAGAGGGGGGGGAGAGGTGGGGAAGGGGGTCCATCACCTCCTTCTCGTCTCCCTCCTCTTCCTCGCAGCCTGCGGCGCGGTTTCCAGGTGTACAAGCAGGTCTGTTCCGCCTGCCACAGCATGGAGTACCTGGCTTTCCGCAATCTCATCGGCGTCACCCACACCGAGGCGGAGGCCAAGGCGTTGGCCGAGGAGGTGAGGGTGTCTTCGTCCCACCGCCCGAGCCCCCCCCGCCACGCACACACACACACCGGGGACCGTCTCGCCGTGGCCGGTGACCCCGGCGTCCCGGCTCAGGGTTCTTCCCGGCGCAGGTAGAGGTGCTGGATGGTCCCGATGAGAACGGCGAGATGTTCACGCGTCCCGGCAAGATCTCCGATCATTTCCCCAAACCCTACCCCAACGCCGAGGCGGCGCGAGCCGCCAACAACGGGGCGCTGCCCCCTGACCTCAGCTACATCGTCAACGCCCGGTAAGGGGACGCTGCGGCAGGTTCTGGATGCGCGAGGAGCTCGGGGTCCCCGGCAGACACCCCCCCCCAGCTGAGGGGAGGAGGACCCCAGCCCCGCTGCTCTCGGGGTCTCTGATGCCCGGGGCTGATTTTACCCCCTCATCACAGGCACGGCGGGGAGGACTACGTGTTCTCCCTCCTCACAGGCTACTGCGACCCCCCAACCGGCGTGACGCTGCGGGAGGGGCTGCACTACAACCCCTACTTCCCAGGCCAGGCCATCGGCATGGCCCCCCCCATCTACAATGAAATCCTGGAATTTGATGACGGTAAGAGGGGCTCGGTGCGGCACAGTGCTGTCCCGTGGGGGTGCCGGTCCCTGGGGTGCTCAGTCCCATCCCCCCTGCTCCTCCCCAGGCACCCCAGCCACCATGTCGCAGATCGCCAAGGATGTCTGCACGTTCCTGCGGTGGGCGGCAGAGCCAGAGCACGACCACCGCAAACGGATGGGCTTGAAGGTGGGTGCCGTGCCCTGGGGGGGGGGGACGGGAGCATGCGGGGAGGGCAGTGGTACCCAAACCCCCACTCTGCACTGGGGTGGTGGCTCCGGGGGGGCTCAACTCTTTCCTCCCCCCAGATGCTGATGATCTCGGGGCTCCTCATCTCCCTTCTCTACTACATGAAGCGCCACAAGTGGTCTGTACTGAAGAGCAGGAAAATGGTTTACCGGCCCCCCAAATAGGGGGGGGAAAAGTGGGGTGCCCCCCACCCCGGCTGCACTGCCTGGGTCACGCACAACCCCTGGGCTGGGGGGGGGGGGGGGCGACGCGCC